CTTGCGTGGAGCGGTGTCGTGGGGTTCTCTGGGAGGGTCTCCTGGGGGGTCTGTAGAGCCCACGCTTTCACGATCGAGTGATCGAGGACAGCGCGACGACGACGACGACGTCGCGGTGGCGGCGGCGGCGACGACGACGACAAAGTCTCATCTTAGAGCCTTGCGTGGGGTGTCTCGGGGTTCTCTTGGAGGGTCTCTTGGGGGTCTGTAGAGCCCACGCTTTCCCGATCGAGTGATCGAGGACAGCGCGACGACGACGACGACGTCGCGGTGGCGGCGGCGACGACGACGACGACAAAGTCTCATCTTAGAGCCTCTCGTGGGGGGGTCTCCGGGGGGTCTCTGGGAGGGTCTCTTGGGGGTCTGCAGAGCCCACGCTTACACGATCGAGGGCTCGAGGACAGCGCGACGACGACGACGACGTCGCGGTGGCGGCGGCGGCGGCGACGACGACGACAAAGTCTCATCTTAGAGCCTTGCGTGGGGGGGTTCTTGGGGTCTCTTGGAGGGTCTCTGAGGGTCTGTAGAGCCCACGCTTACACGATCGAGGGATCGAGGACAGGGCGGCGGCGGCGACGACGACGACAAAGTCTCATCTTAGAGCCTTGCGAGGGGGGTCTCTTGGAGGGTCTCTTGGGGGTCTGTAGAGCCCACGACGACGACGTCGCGGTGGCGGCGGCGGCGACGACGACGACAAAGTCTCATCTTAGAGCTTTGCGTGGAGCGGTGTCTTGGGGTTCTCTTGGAGGGTCTCTTGGGGGTCTGTAGAGCCCACGCTTTCACGATCCGACGACGTCGCGGTGGCGGCGGCGGCGACGACGACGACAAAGTCTCATCTTAGAGCCTTGCGTGGGGTGTCTCGGGGGTCTCTTGGAGGGTTTCTTGGGGGTCTGTAGAGCCCACGCTTTCACGATCGAGTGATCGAGGACAGCGCGACGACGACGACGACGACGTCGCGGTGGCGGCGGCGGCGACGACGACGACAAAGTCTCATCTTAAAGCCTTGCGTGGGGGGGTCTCCGGGGGTTCTCTTGGAGGGTCTCTTGGGGGTCTGTAGAGCCCACGCTTACACGATCGAGGGATCGAGGACAGCGCGACGACGACGACGTCGCGGTGGCGGCGGCGGCGTCGACGACGACGATCCAGCGTAATCCAGGCCCCCAGCGAATCCGTGTGTTCTTACGTATGTGCCTATAGATTAGGCTTCCCAGGTCCACACGGCCCCCAAAGAGTTCCCTCAGGGCCCCCAAAGAGCTCCAAGACGGTCCGAGAGGGCCTTGGGATCGCCCGAGGCAGCATGCAGCACTACCGACGGTACGGCAGCAGCGACGACCGTGCCTTGCGCTTGTGGGACATCTGTTTACTCGGGTACACACGTTACCTGCGACGCCAGCTCCAACACGTGCGTTCAGGCGAGTTCTGTTAGATGTATGGGAGGAGGAGGAGGACGCAGAAGAGGAGGAGGAGGAGGAGGAAGACACGTGTCAAGTCCTGCATTCGAGCTGAGCTGCATTCGAGCTGCGAAATTATTCTGCGATAAATAACGAGGTCGCGTAGGGCCGGCGAATTAAAAATTGAGGATGTCCCTAGCGAAACGCTTGTTTTTCAGAATTTGTTGAGGATGTCTCGAGCGAAACGCTTGTTTTGTGTTATAGATTGTCCTCTCCTGGGGACCTGAATTCTGAGGATCTCTCAAGTGGATTGTTTGTTTTCACGTGCCCAGGTCTTGAGGATGTCTCTAGCGAGACGCTTGGTTTCACGCCTCCAGGTGGCC